GAGTGTGGGTTTATATGAAAACATCACACGAGTATTTTAATGCCTAATTATGTAGTTACATACACTGCTTTATCTACACACATATTATAAGCTCTTTATGATGTCTTCAGGAACCGCATGTTACGACAGAATACTGTTACGACTGGCGAAATGGCGGCAAATAAAAACTTTTCTCACGCATGTCACACAACCGTAGTTTTAATTTTTAATTCATAGACAAACTAGAATCAGCCCCAACTATCATATCGTTCGATATCAAGTTACGTGTGAAATTGTCAAAATTGTTTGCTATTGACATTTCATTTCGAATAAAACTTCATCTCGACCGATATTAGAATTGAGGTCCAATCAAATTGTTTTGTTTTTCAGAGAAAAATTGAATGTAATAATAACATCGAAGTCGATGTTATTATGAAGCAATAATAACATTTTCACAGATAAGAAATTTGTTATAACAAAACAGTTTACCTTTATGCTTGTCGTAATTTGCGGTTTTTGACCACATTATAGAGAGTTTATGATATGTATGCAGATAAAATGTATTATGTGGTAGGCACGAGCAATAAAGTTCTATTTAATACGAAAAACGACATGTACATATCGATATATATGCAATATTAGTTTTATTTCGGACTGTAACAAACCTATTTTACATAATAGACTTCCCTTAGCAACTTATAGTTGCCTAAAAATCCGCTAGATGGCATTGACCAATTATATCTAAATCCTGTATTGCGGTGTTAAAATTTATTATCAAATATCGATACCAGAAGTATCAATTAATGTAAGAGACATTTTGTCGAAAATGAATTACATATTATCTCATTGGATTCGGAAGTTCCCGCTCTCTCGATTGGTATTATTAAAATGTAGGAATGCCCAGAGGTTTAAAATATAGCATGTCCCTTACAATAAAAAAATATGTTTAGTTGTGGCTTACATTACTAATAAGTAAATCGTAAAGTGTAAATCGTCGAGCATAGTGTAAGCAGGAAGAGACATAGAAAATTATACGTAATCCTATTGTAAAGGATCCTTGGAAGAGATAGAAAATTATACGTAATTCTGTTGTAAAGGATCCTTGAAAGATGTAACTCATTTTCGACAAAATGTCCCTTACGTTAATTGATACTTCTGGTATCGATATTTAAATTTAGATATAATTGGTCAATACCATCTAGCGGATTTTTAGGGAACTATATGATGAGCAAAGTTACTCAAAAAAAAAAGGTTTGTCACAGTCCGAAATAAAACGAAGCCGACGCATGAAAGAAGAGGAAATTCTAAGAAACTTTGCTCTAGACACAATCAAAATTGGAGCAGACAGTAAAAAGTTATAGACAGATTTAAAAAAATAAAATTGTTTTTTGGCTCTATTGAAAAACCGTGGTTTGTCCCATATATTAATAGATACTTCTGCCCCCGTAGTATGGCTACGCATGATAGTAGCGACGCGCGCGATAAAATTGAAATAAGCGCGCGCTATTGGCTGTCTCAATCAGATCTAATTTAGATCAATCAAAAATCAGCCAATCGGGCGCGCTTTTTTCAATTTTATCGCGCGCGTCGCTACTGTCATGCGTAGCCATGCTACGGGGGCTGGTATCGATATATGGCAATGATTATTCTATTATTCTGCTCTACAAAAGCACTAGGCGATTACAATATACGTGTAGTTTGAAAATTGATTTATCTTTTTAAGGGCTGATGTACAGATCACAAATTTTAGTAGAACAGTATAGCTCCTTGTGAAAGAGTTCGTCCAGGGAAGTACTGCCACCTTACATATTTATACCACCATGCGTTACTGTGTTCCAGTTTTGAAGGGTAAGGGTCCTGGTGAAATTACAGGCACATGGGACTTGGCAACTTAAGTCTCAGGGTGACGGGTGCAACGGCCGTGTCCCTCAGACCTTTGCTATTCAATAAATTCAATAGGTACTAATTTCATAATTAAAAGGCCATAATTTCAGATTTCTTATGTAATTTCCCCATCTTAACTGTATCGGTTCAGTAGTACAATAATGTGTTCAAATTCACAGCTACAATGTCCGCGATCTTCAACCTGGATCAGCTCATAAACATGATGTCCATCGGCACATTACTCGCTTATACAATTGTAGCTACCAGTGTCCTCATTCTAAGGTATATTATAATTTTTGTTTTTTATTTCATAACTGCTTCTGTCATGTTTCATAGTATTCACGGTTTAGTTTATTATAGTGATTATAGTTTTGTCTAGTTTCTCTATCGCCTGTCTAGTGGCGCTACTAGCTTCCGGACATGATTATCGAAATGGAATTCATAATAAATATATCAGAATGATTGTTTTTATGTTGAACAATTTGATTATATAATTAGGGTGTTAATAATTTTAATTACATAATTTAACACCATGTTTGATTATTGCTTTAGAAGTAGGTAGTATTTTTAATAGTTTTTCTGTTGATTCGTTTGTTGAAACGATAAACAAGTTTAAAAAAATGCATAACTAAACTCTAGCCAAATTCGATGTTATAGTATGATGTCGTTGACCCTTAGACTATGGAATTTTTTTCCACCTTTATGCGTTGACCTCCCATAACTTTTTTACTACCATTTTTTTTACAGTAACGTCAGTTGCTTAGTAAGGAGTTCTAAATAAAGACATAAAAACAAATTGTGAATAAAGTTTTTATTTAACCATAAAGTCACGAATTAATCAAACCGCACTTGTATGCTGCATTCTTAGACACCACATAATGAACTCCCATCATTGTTGATAGGTCAATGACTCCCATGGTAATATTATACATAAATAACTAAAAGAACTTTATTTATCTACGTTGACATAAAAATGTATCCTTATAGGTGCGCTATTCTCTTATCATTTGGTCAACATGCGTAAACTACGAAGCTGTATTTTTTCTTTTCTATTTTACAGATATGAAGAGGAAGTATCTGTCCAGCTGCCCGCCAAACCTGTACCAGAGACGGGGTATTCCGTAGCGAAGCAGACCTTTAACCTGTTGGGCATTAAGCAGCCTACACAGTTGTCAGCCAACATTGCCAAGTGCAGTATCTTTATACTTTGTGAGTTTCCGTGTTCCGTATCTACTCCAGGACACGTAATTCGAGCCACCTCGCATTTTTGTCGTAAAGGACTAGAATACAAAAATAGTGTTATCGTCGAAGAAAAAGTTTTCCCCGGTGTTTGCAAATCCAAATTCCCAACAAGGACTTATGGAAAAGACGTTCAGTATACTACTTTCAAAATTGCATAATAGTTTTTGATCAAACAAACATTGTTTAAGCTTGTGGCACTTAATAGTGAAAACGCGTGGTGGCTCGAATGATGTGTATATAATAATATATTGAAATTTGAGTTCTGAGCGTTACCCTGGCCGGACCGGCCCCAGTGTGACGCCACTGATGCGAACCGTTCCACAACGACCTGTTTGTCGCGTGCAGTCCTGCTGGCGCTGGCGACGTGCACGCTGATGCGCTGGGAGCACGACGGGCCGGGGCTGGACGCGGCGCTGGGCACGCTGGGGGCCGGCCTCATCGTGCTGCTGGTCATCCTCTACCGGCAGCCGAGGCTAAGCGTCAAGGACTTGGCATTCACCGTGAGTGTGCTGATTATTTGCTGTTCATAGCCATTGCGAGTTGTTGCAAGTTAGTTCAAAAGTTGAACCGCGCTCTCCAGCAATAATAAGTATGGGCAAATAAAAAAATAAAAATCCAAACTTTCAAGTGACATAATTCTGCTTGTAATATGACGTATTTCTTATTATGTGACATATTTTTTATTTAATATTATTATTTGATAAATAACAATTCTATTTAATTATTGAAACCTTGACCTCCTATCATAATCTTTTACATTGTCTAAAATATTCATTTATACTCATTGACTTACAAATAAATGACGACGGGTCTAATACAAAAACCACGAAAAAAATGTCCCAAGTCAACCTATTTAAACGTAGTGACATGTAAAGGAATATGAAAAAGCTAAAACGTTGAATTTAAATTATAATGTCATCGCAGTACTGTCTAATTTTGCCTGCTTCGCTGTCAGTCGAACAAACGAAAACTAAAGCGTGAATGACGCTCTGTACACGATTTTAACGCCCCATAAGTTCGGATACTTTTTAGCGCGGACCCGACGTCCATATAATTGTAAGTTATTGACTTATATTACAGCATAAACATTGGTTTATTCTGTAATATTTTTTTAATATAATTAGCCATTTATACACATTTGTACATGTGTAGTAGGAGGGACGTCTTAAGTGAAGGAGACGTACCAAAAATTGGATACGTGCACAATACTGGATACCGCGCTATAATGAAAACTAAATAACACCATCTTTATTTAAAAACTAGAACTACTTCGTCAATGTAACTTACCAACTATTACCAATATTTTGCTAGTTGTCTGCGCCATTTTTGCCTTCAGTGCGCTGCTGTAGACTTGTCCCTAATCGGTCCTTAGCGGGAGCAATCCTAGTTAGTTCAATCGGTCAACTGAACTAGGTCGGTCTTCTAGTTCATTTAGTTCGTCTAATTCCTTAGTTCGTCTTGTCCTTGCTGGGACATTGAACGAACGCTCCAAACTAGTAATTGAATACACATGAACTACTACGGACTTCTAGTATTATGAGGTCAATACTACACTGTACTAAATATTTAAAAATACTATTTGATTGGTACAATTTGATTTTCCTTCATATTTTACAGGTTTAAAGACTGTCATTCTAACTAAATATCCTATTTTTTACAAAATATGAATTTTAGTTAGAATGGTGTGTTTAAAAATCAGTATTTAGTTACAACTATTTCATATACTCATACACGTAGGTTGATATTATAAATACCTACCAAAAAATATTACTTTTTGCAAGCTTTTACTTATATGCATAATGTAGATACGTATTAGAGACTTATAACGAGCTGGGAACGTTCAATCGTGCATCCCAGTCGAACTTGTCCTAAAAGTAGTGAAAGATCGCTATTTGTCAAACATAAAAAAACTAGAAAAAAGGAAATTATACTTACCATTACTGAACGTGTCATTGCCGCATCTAGTACGCTCTGCCGCGTCATATATGTTTGTTCGCTTGAATTTTTGCCTCCTACGCATTGACTTACAATTATATGGACGTCGGGTCCGCGCTAAAAAGTGTCCGAACTTATAGGGCGTTAAAATCGTATACAGAGCGTCATTCACGCTTTAGTCTTCGTTTGTTCGACTGACAGCGAAGCAAGCAAAATTAGACAGTACTGCGATGACATTACAATTTAAATTCAACGTTTTAACTTTTTCATATTCCTTGACATGTCACTACGTTTAAATAGGTTGACTTGGGACATTTTTTTCGTGGTTTTCGTATTAGACCCGTCGTCCATTTATTTGTAAGTCAATTCTCCTACGTTATTTTTATTAGCTTTTTATATTAGTGGGCTTCATTTATTTCGTAAGTTTGAATTAGTTAAGTAAGAGAATACATAATTCTTATGAGAAAAAAATATTCTTTAAGCATAATTTTGTGGAAAAAAAAGAAACGTAAATCAAAATAAAAACAGAACAGGTCCAAAAATTAAATTGGCGTCATTGACCTATCGCATGCATAGTGCATTCTACATTGCTCTACAATGCTCTATTTATTAAAGATCTTGTTTATCTCTTTCTTATTTTTTATACAGCCCAGTTTTTATATAACTTTTTTCTTGCTAGCTAAATATTTTTGTTGTCTGGGTCTTGTTTTTTAATTTTTTTTATTATTATTTTTATATTAATTTTATTTTGTGAAAACAATTACCCATTGGCACAAAGATTGAATAAACACTGGCGTAGTGTTCATTGGAGGCATCTATTTATGCAGTTTATTGTAGCATAACATTGTTTCAGGTGCCGCTAGTCCCACTGGTGCCATACTTGAGCGTATGCATGAATCTTTACCTAATGGTGCAGCTCGACTACGAGACCTGGATACGGTTCAGCATATGGCTGGTTATTGGTAAGTGATATGACATTCTCATTGGTTTTGCTGAAAGCCTTATCAGGGCCTAAATTTTGCTAATTTTTTTGAAACCGCTGGTCATTCAAATCCCATTGGGACTCCATTGGGATTATATTGCAATTATGATAATATTTGGGACTCTGCTAAAATCTATTTGTAATGGCAGTTGAGTCTTTTTCTTAACAGTAGAGTAGTTATACCAGTAACTCGTAGGTTGCTTGGAACAGATTACTATTTAATAATATAGCCGCCTGTGTTGTACCTGTTACTTTTTATTTATTGTTTTGTATTATTATGTATTTGTCCCAGTGTGCAATAAAGAATATTTGTATTGAGGTATTGTCTTAATAGAGTGCCAGTGGATTAGAATGGGAGTGATGGCATTCAAACACTAAAGATCGCCGTTGCCTTACTAAAACTACCACGGAATTTGCTATTTATTTTTGTCTCTTTTAATGACTAATTTAGTCAACAAATTCGATATATATAATATTAGTAGGCTACACCAACGAAGTCTACACCATCGATTCGCCATTGAAGAGCAGAATACCAAAAAATTACAATGGCAGTTGAATTAGTAGCTCGATGGCTAGCCACTACTCTTAAGTGTGAAACACACTAAAAGCGGGTGCGTGTCGGGTCGGGAGCGGGGCGTGTGTAATTCCATGTATTTATGTAGAAAACAACAAACCATGCGCGGGGGCGAGACGGGTGCATATCGGGTCCCGCACCCGCTTTCAGTGTGTTATTCACGTTTTAAGTATTAGCAGAACATCAAACGTACAAAATCGACATAGAAATTGCGGCCCCTGGTCTTTAACAGATTAATGCGATTCCAGGTTACCTGATCTACTTCGGCTACGGCATTCGGAATAGTTCTCTCAACAAGACGCAAGCTGACACGACAACTACAAGCAATGGCAAAGATCACACAAACTGCAAAGAACTCTCTAATGGCAAAGAATACGCCAACGGCACTCTTGAAAAGAAACACATTACTACAAAATTTTGATTGAACAATGAAAATTTTAAGAAGAAAGAAAGTTACTGTAGTTATGTGTGCCAGACAGCATCGCAACAAGGAACTCCTCACGCATCATCGCCGCAAACAGCTGCCAAGTAAAGTTGATGTAACGCATGTGTAGTAACTGGTATCAAAGGACTTGTATTAAACTGGATCGCGCACAAGTTAATAAAACTAGAGTGAGAGGTTTCAAAGTAGTAATGCATCTCTTTCTAATTGGGTGTTCATTCATGTTTCAGTCAGCCATATTCTTTTTAACTTTTTAGTTTTTATAGAAAATGTGGCCGCTTATGCATTGACCAAAACTACTAATTTTATTTCATAATACGAATTAGCATACTTATTTGATATGCTACTTCATAATAGAAGGTTTCCTTGCTGATATATATTATATTTTTTGTATTATTACAGTAAAAGCACCTTTACGCTAATTAACCAAAATTTAAAAAAGTTAATAAACTAGACACTACCTAAGATGATTTATTTACCGTTGGCAACTTGTTAGACAAGGACAGACCACTACTTCACGTGGCTCGGTTTTTTACTTTTACTTAAAATAAACCTTAACATACCTCCTCCTCCGTCGGTCCCTCACTGCTGAGGATCGGGACTTTAGACAAGTATACCGTCAATCAATCCTCTCCACTGCACTGTCTTGGGCTAGGTGGAATGCGACGCTCACTGGTACTGTCAGACATTCAGCCACCTGGTCACACCATCGTTTCGACATAACATAACCTAATAAATAAATTTGTAATATTGGTATATCGAAGTGCGCGATCCAGTTTATGAAATATATAACACCGTGCTAGTATCATAAACACAATGACAGCTCTCAACTACGTAGTTCAGTATTGTGCCAATAGATGGCACCTCAAAATACTATTGCCGAATTGTGAAACAAAATTTGAAAGAAACAACCACACGTATATGCGAATATGAACAATTAAAACACTAGCTGTCCTTTTTTCTCATAATTTTACTGTGTGTCGGTGAGACTGGCAAGTCGAGCGTGTATAAATTCACCAACATCGCGTGTGGTTCCTGAGTTTCCTATGTGCTATAATTCCCCCACAAAACGCTCAATTTGTCATGTAATAAGAGCGAGAAAGACGTAGTGCGTCCTTTTCGTTCTAATTACATAGATATAAAGCTTTTTGTAACCGACTGAAGCCGGTTTCGCGTTAATATGTGTGGTTGTGGTTGAATCCTGAAAACATCTATACGTAATTTTACTATTATTTTGACTTAAGCCACGTATAAATTTCCGACCGATTTATTAGGTCCATGTTTGCACAGTCATCTAATATTTAAACGATACAATTAGCTCAGATTTCTGATTTTTATTACTCAGGGAATGTCAATAAATAGACAATGTAGTGATGTCTAATGTATAATCGAAACTACCTATTTTATCACTACTTTATTAAGCAACCAATGTTTACATAAATATGAATTAAGAAATAATACATAATATACATTCGCATGACAAAAAAATAAGTAAGTTATTGTGATTTTCTTAACATGTAAGTAGAAAGGTTTACCTTAACTAAGTACTTTAAAGTAACAACTTTGATGTTAACCAATAGTTACCATCACAGTATTGTATTTAGCAAACCTAATTGTTAAAATGCAGATTTACAGGGTTAGTACCTTTGAAAGATATTTCAAGTGGTTATTTATCCCATTAAACAATTGTATAGTCCGTCGTTTTTGAAGACTGAGTGAAATGACATTTGCAGGGTTGCCAGTTTTCGTAAAATTTTAAATAGCCATGTATAAGCTGTCAACAGTTTTATCGGTAGATTGTGAAGTAGGTAAGATTTTGCCAAAAATAGGTATCTAAATTGTGAATGTTACGACGTTTACTAATTGCGTTATTGTCTTCTTTATTCTTATTTTGACAGTTGGTCGATTAGTATCGAAATAATTTTTTGTCATACACATTTTAATAACGACAGGCGGACTTCATTATATAGATTAAATTCAAATTAAGTGCTTTAAAATGTCTGTTATTTGTATTTTTTATACAAATGCTGCTAAACTTCGTACACTAGTATGAATTTTCAAAAATTAACAATTTAAATGAACCTGTGCCCATCAGTTGGACGAATAATTGGCCGATGATGATTCGTTCATTTTCGTCGGTGCGTAATCAACATTCAGTCGATAGTCGACATAATATTTATCGACTGCAATCACTAGCTACTTGCAAGCGGGCAACACTTTTACGCAATGACCTGTCATTTTACTCCTTCAGAAAAAAGTATATAGATTTAATAAACATACTTTTTTATGACTGCTTAAACTTTTACCAAAAATGGCAACCCTGCAAATGTTATTTTAGTCCGTCTTCGTGAAAACTAAAGTATGTTTAATTAGAAGTTTGTTTTCTTCTGCATTAGTGGTATTAGAACAAAAATGTCAGTTAATGTAATAATATGACCTTTTTGAATGAATGCTACAAAAATAGTGTTATTGTTAGTTTAGAAATAAATCGACTTTGGAAACCTGACAGGGATTTTAACGTATAGCGGCCGAGCCGTTTGTGATTATGTATTTTGTGATGAGGTATTATCTTATATAAAGTTATGTCGTGACATGTGGTGATTAAAATTAACTAATTACTAAACTGGCAACCTCGTGAAAGAAAAAATTTAAAAGGTGCTTTTTAAAATGCAAAAACTTGAATAACATGCAAATGAATTGGTAAAACTTTGCACAACATTAGCAAGTTGCACTGAATACAAGCTAATTGCAAAACGAAAGTGCGTCTTACAATAACTAGTATAGTGAAAAATCTATTGTCATGGCATTAAGTCAAATGAAAACGATAATAATAGCTCAAAAAGTGTGACATTGATTTATAAAGGTGCGTACTAGAGATGAGCGCCAATCGTAATAATCGTCAATAACGGCGTGGCATATATTTTTCAAGTGTTGAAACACACTGCAAAAACATAACACTGTAATGTGAACATTGTAAAAATCACCCTTTGTATACATTTTCGTGGAGTATGCCAGTCCAACAGCATCAGCGTTCATGCGCCATCTAGCGGGAGAAATGGTCAGTGTGCCTCCCCATTGCAATCTAATATGAATAGGATGTACGTAGACAGGAATGTAATTAATTTTAAATACGTATAATAAATACAACAAAGATTTCTGATATTACAATAAAAGAAAATATTTTTTTGCAACGCCGATCAAATTCATCGACATTGCTGACCAGATGCAATCGCTTGTTATGTAATAGCCTTAGAATAATAACGCATAGAATGTTAGTTTCATATCAAACGAACTGTTACAAGTGAGGCAAAAGTCAAATTCATGTAGGCTAGTTTTAGTAGTAGGTTAATTTTCGGTTTTAGTGAATATTTATATAAAAATACAAGTTGAAACGCGTTACTTCCTTGTGGAATGTGATGTTAATATCTATTTTATGTTTGTCTGACGTATTTTTACACTCATTTACCGCACATTTCGTCATTTTTAGCTAAAATTCTTGGTATGTTCGCGGTGCAAGTTGACCTTGAGCACTGAAGGCCCGCCCGCTCGTGTAGGCCCTTTTGGCGCGCTTCAATTTGCCTCACTTAGCGTGTGCGGACTAGGTTTCTATGCGTTATTATTCTAAGGTAATAGCTTAATTCGAAAGTCATATAGCAATAAAGACTGCACACTTGTAATATTACAGCTTTACACATTGCAGTGATGAAGAAATTGAGCTAAATGTACCACAAGCATCAAGTATATAACCAGAAATAGATACGAAATGTCATTTAATTTAGTTGAAAACTATTCTGCCAGTGACTGCCATATCATTACTGTGACAATTGCTCTCCGATTGGCCGACCCAAATTCGAAACAATTGACGGGTGTCGTCAATTGTTTCACTTCAAATCGACCAGTTAACTTGAGTTTTGCTATAATGGACGAAAATTGCAAAATTACATATTTAATTACCGATGACATTTGATTCCGTTTGTTTTGTTATTAGATGTTTTGCTGTTTTACCACACACCGCCGAATAAAACAGCACGCCATTGTTAGAGATATTATCTTTATTACAATAAATACAGACTATTTTTGGAATATACGGAGACGTACATAGAGGTCAGTTGTTGGCGCTGTACTATTTCAGCTTTCTAATTTGTAATTTCAGTGGAAACGAGAGTTGATATTTATAAGTGATATATCACCGATGAGTTGCCAAGAATGTATAGCCCTTATTTCGTCTCTATTTCTGGTTATATACTCGATGACCACAAGTGAACTACTTGTAATGGACCGGCTACATGGTCCGGGATTACAGCGCATGTGCTTGAAACGTTACAACGTCGAACAATTGTAATAAGCGAGTGTACGCAGTGGTCTTAGACACCTCGTAGCCGACCGTTTTTGTTAAGAACACATAACTGTAGGGTAGAGTATTAAACAAACGTAATCTTTAACCCGTAAGCCGTAAAATTCATTTTAATAATTTAGATTATATCATAGACCAATAAATCAAGAGGCGCTTATCTCTATACTACAGATCGTATCTCTGAAAAAGGGTTAAAATTCCGTCGTAGATCTAAATGGCGCGGATCAACAGCATGTAGTTTATACTACGTATAAATATATCAGTAATTTTCTGGTAAGTTTTTGTTTACTCAATTTTGGTGACAATTTTTATTGTTTAATTACTCGAATATATGTGTATATCATCGTGAAATATTATAGAATATTTCCCGTTACCACATTCGAATATTAAATAATAGTTCATGATGATAATCTATAATAAACATAATTTGTCACCAAAATTCAGTACAAAAAACTTACGTCAATTACCTATATTTTTTTAATACTAGACTCGATCGTGACTACCGCTCTTACTAACTGAGCTATAGAGCCAGTCTGCAGATCTTAGGAATTTATGTTTTTTTTTTTTAATATTTGACAACATTACATACGTTGCTTTGATCCCAAAGTAAGTAACTAATGCACTTGTATTTTAAATTTTTATTGAATTGATATTCAATTATTTTTTGTGAAATTACTCCACTAGTTTGTTATAATTATTAATACAAAGATCGAACACTCAGAAAAAGTTCCTTCGATCCGGCCGGATTCGAACCGACGTCTTCTATACCAACTAAGCACGGTAAGCTAGAAGACGTCGGTTCGAATCCGGCCGGATCGAAGGAATACTCACTGAGTGTTCGAGCTTTGTATTAGTAATTATAACAAACCAGTGTCATGGAAATGGAAATCAACGGTACAATAAACACCCAGACCCGAGGCAATATAGAAAAATGAGTTTCTACATTGACCCGGCCGGGGA